AGACCATGCGACAGTCACATCGAAGTCTACTGGTGAATATGTGGGGAACAGTCAGCCGACCGGTACTCCCACTCTCACTCCCGCTGTCAGCCACTCCCACTGCCACCCACCTACCACCGCCCACCACCCACCGGCCCCGCTTACTGCGAGTGCGGCTGCTGTCTTTCGGCTGCTATAAATCATAAGCAAACATTTTGATATTGTAATCCCCATTTTAATCCGTGCGCATAAAAAGCCAAAAATCAAACTTTTCGACATGGGCGGCGGTGTCTGTGATGTGCCTTCTGCATTTGCTTTGTTAGTTTTTCTCGCTCGTTCGTTTCGTGTTTTTGCTCGTTTCCCCAAAAAAATTGATGGATTACCTTGGCCCCCCGATCCCGCCCCCAGAAGCCAGGTGATAAGAATTCTTCAGCCTCAGCTTGTCGGTTTTGTTTTGCTGCTGATGATGTGGCAACTGTTGCTTTTGTTGGCCGCCTTGATTTATTAATTAATTATGTGCGGACGGAAACTGCGTCATCACGCATTGGGGTATCGATAACATGGCTAATAGGACGCGATAACTTCGATTCGGCGGCAGAGATCATTTATCGTCGGCCCTTTTTATGCGGTGCGGCGGCAACAGTTAAAAGAGCCGTTGGTGGTGCCACCCACCACCCATCTCCCACCACCTGAAAAGCTCAGGGTCCACCATGTTTGATGTGGAATTTCGGGTGGTTGGTTGGTGTTCTATTTCGATGGGAGGCTCCATCGCCGAGGATCCCAGATGTCTTTGAAGTCGTTCCGCCAAAAGGTTGAGCAATGGAAACTAGGTAAAGCACTAGGTTAGTGGATTTTTGGTGTCCAGGACTTAATTTTAATCTACGGTGGTGTAAGGTAAAAAAAAGAATATTAAAAAAAATTTTTTTGATATCTCCCAGGAATAAATCAAAGTAAAAGTTTATTGTTACTTTCGGAAAGCCTATGTTCTTTAATCTCGATGTAAGTCTTAGGTATAATTTTAGCAATTAAATTAATTTCACTAAATACAGCGTGATAAAACCGGCCCAAGTTTAAGCATTCACTATTTCCCATTACAGTTATTGCCATTATCTGATTGATGTCTGTCTATTCGGAGACATTTGCACCCTTAATTGATTCTGTCTAGCTTATTATCTCTCACCCCTCAGCATCTTTCCGGGCCAGTTTGTTCAGCCCAGCAAATAATTACCATTCCGAACAGCTGATTTTCCTTTCAAAGTCCCAATTTTCGTCCCAAAAACCCAAGGAAGTGCAACAGTCCGAAGGGGAAGGCGCTTCACTCTCTTAGTCTCGTCCTGGGGAAATTGCGTAGCCGACCTGTGCGCATGTAACATATAGCGGATGTAGAGGCTACGCCCCCTGACTTTTGGAAGGCCATAAGGAGGCGTGGCCAACGAGCAGCGAGTGCCAAGTGAAACAAACCAATCGAAAGGGAGCGAATAATCAGCGAGTTTTCGACGAGTGGCTGAAGATAAGCGCGCAGGGAGGGAAATGGAAAATAGTCAGGGCAAAATGTGCGTGAGTCTTCCGCTCCTGTTTTCCACTCCTGTTTTCCGTGCTCCGCTTTTCCGCTCCTTTTTCCACGTGCCATGCATAAATCGGCCAGCAATCGATGTACCTTGTGCCCAGGAGGAGTTCGGAACAGATGTCATCATATTTCTACAGGTTCTGAAATTATGCGGCTCCTTCGGCGTCGCTTAATTTGTTTTCCCTTCCCCCGGAAGTTTCCCTGATTTTTTCGCCCAGCTTCCCTCTGCTTTTCCTTTTTTCCGACGTGTGCCTGCGACTTGGTTACAAGTACTTTACGGTAATGGAGGATTTTCGCTTGAGCATCCTCTAACAGAAATTAATTTAAATCGATATGCGACCAGAGTGGCGCTGTCTACGTGGCCATGGGTGTGCGATGGAGGGGAGGGAGGGGGCTGTTCGGTTGTGTGTGGCATCCTGGCCTTTATTAATTAGCATCGTAATTTATTTTGGCGGTTTGATTGAGCTGTAGGTGGCTGCAACCTATCGCATGACGATGGGAGTAGTCCGCGTATCTTTGGCATTTCGAATGACAACAAGGACATGCCACGCAAACTAATACACCAAACAAACATACAACGCACATTTTTTGAGGATGGGATCCCCTGCCAGGAGTGCACAGGAAAAAATCCACTAAATTATGAAATGAAGGTTGAAATGGTTTCAAAAATCACTCTTGACTCCTGAATTCAAAATCTTATAATTCTAGCAACATTAAGTTTGAATTATAAGTGCAGAATATGGGAATGATTGTATAAATGTTTCGAATCAACCCTCTTGCTTCCTAATTTTTCGCTTAGTGTGCGTGTGTTTGTATAGTTTATTGACTGCTTGAAGGGAAGTGCTTTCCATAGAGAAACGGAGAGATTTCTCGCTAAGGAATGTAAGACTGGCCGCAAATCCTGAAAATTGACTTCGTCCTCAAGGACAGCGGGGGGTGGTGGGGGTGAACAGGAAAGGGAAATCAATGCCGCCATTTTGCGAAAGAGTTGCCAGGGAATCCGCTCGCTACCCGCGTGGTTTTCCACCATCATCATAAGGCATACAAAATTAGTTCAGTCGGCTGGGGATTTCGTGAGCTGGGAAATGGGCAGTGAAATGGGATGTGGATGTGGATGTGGATGCGAATGGGGATGTGGAAATGGGAAAGCGACCCGCGTCTTTGTTGCTGCTGGTGTTGCTGTTGTTGTCGCATCTCCCTACGCACCATCGTATTTCATTTCGTCATGTTTCGGGATTAGGCCGGATTAGTTTGGCGACTGAGCAATGGCTCCGAAATGCTCTGAACTTTTCAACTGCGCTGCCTGTGAACTTTTCGGTAGTTGCTTAAAAAAAGAAAAGTGGGGAAGCGGAAAATGTGACGACGCGAATGTGTGTGGATGTAAATGTGAAAGGGGGAGCCGCATTTCTCCGGATCTCTGACACTTTCGCGCGCCCTGGCATTTCAATTTCTTGAGGTGCGTGCGACTGCTCGAATGTTCGGCATTAAGTTTTCCTGTTGCCAGCATCAAAGGATGATGAGATTCCCTCTCCCTGAAATCCGACACTTAAGATCCCCCCAAATGGCAGACACACTCCCCGGCACGTAGTCCCCGTTGGAGAAAAGAATAACGCCATTTTCTTTCGGGTTCGCTAGATAACAGTAGATACCGCGAAAATCCTCCCCCTTTCGATATCGGAAAGTCGAAAGTCTAATTTCGGTTGCCCTTATAATTGAAATACGACCAGGTGAATTCCCACAGCTCTGCGACGGAAATAGCCAGCATGTCATCAATGTAAGGTTGCGGATTATACAGGGTACGAAGGACAGTGTGTAATTACGCCATCGGAAAGCGAAATTCCCAGGGGGCTGAAGAAACCCTTTGAACGGCGGGCAGTGAAAGTCAAAAAGTGCACCAGGTGGGAAACCCTTCAATCATGATATTGGGCTGTATTATCGTCATACAGGTGGGACTTGTGCCCTATTTTGAGTGGGTGGACCGTTGAAGTATCTCCTAACTTTGTGCCACATTTATGTAACTTTGGAAGTATTCGGTGAGTTCAAAGCGCATTCACCGCCGCAGCAACTTGAGGAGGTCTGAGGAACTGAAGTGGCCTTAGTATTTCGAGGGTCTCTGCTAAAGGAGATTACTAGTTGAAGTCCATTGGCAATCTGGGTTATGCCAGTCGCACGTTTTATGAAGCTCTATATAACGTAAGAAAAAATGTATCTAGTGGTTTCATAATAATTTCCTTTTTATTGTCTTCAAATGTTTAAAAATATTGTTTATAATTGATAAATGGCATTCATGTAACATACTTGAGTTGCAAACAAACAGTACTATTGAACCTTGTCTCATCACCTACCCCAATAGTTTATTAAAATTTTGAGGCGTTATTTCGCTCTGTGGCATACAATAAAGTCAGCTTCTTGAGATTTCTGGGGCTTATGAGATACAGCATACATGACCATTGGAAATTACCTCTGATTAGTTTCCTGGCACATCAGTGGCGGAATAAAAGGATATAAAGCTAGCATCATTTACATCCGTTGGCCTGCCTCCTGCAACATCCCCGACCCTCTTTTCCCCCTTTTCCCAGGCAACTCATTCCACCACTCGAGGCAGAAGATAAAGCTGCCGGGGAAGGCAGGCAAATGCGAAATAAAAACGAAAATTATGAACTGCACAAAAGCTGTTGTGAATTTTAATAAATTCTGCCTGCCGCTTGTTGTTTCTGTCTCCTTTGAAAGTATCTCTGTATCTGTGGCTCTGTTTCTGTTTCTGGCAGAGCGAACAAATCAAAAAGGGGGAAGTCCCTGGCAGCAGAAACGAACGCAAGGATACGTCAAAGGAGCAGTTATTTATTTATTTGCGAGGGGTTCGGGGGCGACCAGCAGGAACAACAATGGCGGGCTAACGCAGAATAATGGGATAACAAAACGCCCTTGACACCCAGTAAAAAGACAGCCAGCCCTCAAAAAGTGGGCAAAAGTAGCCTTATTATTATGAACACAGCACGTAGCAATTGTCCAGGGGCGGGGAGGGGACTTCCGAGGGGGGCGCCGCACACAAAGGACCTGGCCCAGAACCCAGTACACAGAACCCCGAATCCCGAAGACCCACAGAGTACAAATCAAACCCTCGAGAGCAGCCAAATAACAATGTACGGCTGAAGAGCGAGAGGGCGCCAGAGGGCGAGAGGGAGAGCACAGCAATGGCGCACTGCACACACTGGGGTGTGAGTGAGAGAGAGAGCGAGCTGCCCGACTTTGGGGGTGTGTCCACAAGACACTCGGGGCTGTCTCTCCTCTCTGTCGCACCGCCAAGAGCCAGCCAGCACTCGCTACTCGCCGCACGGCAGGCCGTCTCCCTCACACCCTCTCGCTTGAGGGAGCAAAAAGAGAGATAAGATAGCGGCCGACGTGCGGGGCTCTTGCGTTCGAATTCCGGGGTATTGCGTTCAGTAGCCGCGAGTTCTCGTCGCCAGCACCACGTTTACCGTTAGCACGGCCCACCCCGGACACCCCGAACAACCCGAACACCCCGAACAGACCGTGCACCTTGTGCACCCCAACCACCCAGGAGCACTCGCTACACACGACTACACGCATCCAACAGATACTTTTCCGAATTCGTTTTCAATCCAGCTACGTCCTGTTACGGATGCAGACGCGTCGCCTCCGTTGTGATACCAGAAGCACCAGGTCCAGAGCTGCCAGCACCAGAGGTCCGAGTGCCAGAGATACTTAGCCTAATTACGCCGCGGATTAAATTATTAAAACAAAAACACTTAGATCCGCCAGGGATTTGCCAATCAAATCGCGACGAATCAAAATCAGATCACGGAAAGTGCTTCGCGAGTGACTGTGCGCGTGTGTGTTTGATTGTGTCGCAGCGGCAGCGAGATTAAAAACATATCCCCGAGTTACTTAAAATTAATCACTAACATAATCACTGTGATTTCACTATTTGATCTGCCGACGTCAACACCGCGTGTGCGAAAACTGTTTACTGCTGCGGCTCCATTAAAAGCCGCTTCGCATTTGATTAGCAATCTGTTGCAACAACAGCATAAACCTATTACGATCCCCGAGATTTATAGCCGCTGCCCACGCGATATATCCGAAAGATTTTCGGAGATTTTCCCAGATCTCCGGCGGATTGAAATGCTAGCAATCTGATTTATTGACGACCCACGACATTTGCTCCCGCAGAAGAGCCATCAAAGTTCGCCTTTGATACTCCGGATCGACGGAGCCAGCGGAACCGACGGAAGTTCGTTCCCACCACCCAGTGGATTAACTTGAATTCCTCTCCCATCATTCAGAGGTGAGTTATAATTACAATTAGTTTGGTCCTATATACAAACTAAATAATGAAAAAGATGTTTGCATAAATTCGTAGTACAAAAAAGAAAAAAAAAAGAATTATGAAAAATATATTCAATCAAATTTGTTCTCAAATGGTATTTTTGGGTTAATCCTTTTAGTATTTGCTATTCGTTTTCAAACAAAGATTATAATAAATAACTTTTGAAAATTTGTGTATAATTTAAAATCTTATCATTTGATTTTTATAAAAATATTTGTTTAATAAACAATAGGGAATTGCAAGGAATTTAAGATATTTCCTTTTCTTAGGGTAAAGAAAAAGTCAGAACAAAGAAATCAAATAAAACAACATTTTAAAATACAGAACTTAGAACATTTTTTGCTGTTTAATTGAATCGGAAACAAACCAGCCGAAATGAAAACTAATCGTTAAGTGTTGGGTCATCGCAAACAGAAGTTTCCCAGTAAACACCTTCCTAGGAACTTAATCACTTCGTAATGACAATGTCAATTCGGCTGATGCTAAGGGAAACAGGCTAGCTTTCCATTTCGAGATCCCGCCAATAAACCGATTGTTGGCCAGCGAATTAAGTTTACTGGGCACTCTCACGCCGCGCATAAATCACGGCGGAGTGAGACCCGGATCCGGGATTGCTGCCATAAAAAGACATCTCGGCCGTTTTGTAAGGGGGGCCTGTGGGCTTCTGGCCCACAATTCTGCCAAAAAGCGGAGGAGACCCCGGCCAAGTGGCTCCGGCTCATTGACGTCACCTAAACAATTAAAATATGGCAAACAAGGCATGGAAAAAACCTAAGTACACAGTGCTGGGATCGCTGGGCAGCCGCTAAACTCGAATTAGAATAAAATAATAAAATTAAATAGAAATGAAAACATGTGGAAAGCCTTGGCAAAACATCGGAATCTTGCCACCTTCGCGACGAAGAGGCCGTAAACCCACGAGATCTGCGCGGCCATAAAGTGGCATAAAATAATTCTGGCATTCTTTGTCTTAGCGAATCATTATGTAAATAAATTCTCACTTTTGAAATAAAATGACGAGGCACAAAAGCAAGCGACGCACACACGAAATAGAGCGGAGAATATTCTTCGGTGGAAGGGAAACAATGGCTGGCACTTTGAACTGGCAACCGAATTATTTATTAGACGCTGCGGCAGATAATTTAGCCAGAAATTGAGACAACTGCGGCAAAGCAGAGCAAATAACAGTGTTATAAATACTCATCACGGCAATAAATGCAGAAACTTTTCATTTCAACGGCGGCTGACCCATCAAAGTGTGGCCCATAAATTGGCTTCAAGTGAAATTATGTTTATCATGACCGGCTGCCTATTATTGTTGTTGAACAACCGCAAATGGATTTAATATTACAGCCGCACTAATCCAGTGGGGATCAAGTGGAGATCAAGCGGCATTATCGGGCATGAATTATCAACGAAATCGAAAGTGACAACTCAAGCCGGAGCCTTCCAATTAAATTTAATTAAATTCACTTCAACTGCGAATTTATGTTGGCCGCTAGATTTATGAAATTCGTTCTCATTTCGCCTTTGAATGCCTTTAGTTTGTTGTGATTGAGATTAGATAACCATTTATTGCAACGTTTCGTTTCGTTTCGTTTCATTACGTTTCGTTAGCTTCGTTTGCTCAGATAGCGGCCCATACACGTATATATATGCCCGACTCTCCCGATATCGGGCCAAGGGGCCTAGGAACCTGGGGAGGTGTTGCCTCCCTTTTCGCTAATTGATTTACGACCGTTTATGGCTATTTTCGTGCTACTGTCACTGGCTGTTTTCGTTATTTTTAACGAATTTATTAGAAGCCCTGACACAGTTTATCGCCTAGTGCCTGTCAGTACTCTTTCCATGCTTTCAGCTTTCCAGCTTTCCCCAATTTCGGCTTGCCAAAATCGCTCAGTGTACGTGCAATAATAACAATAATAGCGGAGAAATGCTCGCAGAAATGTAAATATTTTACATCGATAAGGCCCTTATCACTGGGAGCCCCTCTTTGCCGCTCGGCAGTCTGCTGATAGCGGCGTAGGTGGTTCGGTGGTGCGGTCGTCAGCTCATGTGCCCCACCATCACCCCCCCTCGCACCCACCGGCCCCACAATTTACGACGCTCGGCGAACCAGTCCCGTTTTACCACTCCGATTGCCGGCGGCTCCAGCATCCGTGGTATTAACCCCTTGACGTGTTTGGTGTTAACTTGCCATTCGGCTGGTGTTTGGGTTAAGCTCCCTGTTTGCCTTCGCCGTCGAGGCGATAAAAAGCTCCACCAGTTGATTTGCCTACCAGGTAGCTAAACCGTAATTAAGTCTCGCTGGGAGTGAATTCGATAGGGGTAACTAACATAAAGTGCACTGCGATAAACTAACTTTAAAAGCTTGTGAGGTTTACACATGAAATTATGGGCATTATTTTATACATGTTTATGTTTAAAATATATTTATTTTTACTTTTAAAATAGAACTGAACTATAAATAGTGATACTCTAGACATTAAATATCTCGGTCTGAATTGCTATTTGTACTCGTACAAGTTGTAGGGTTCGTTTCATCTTTATTTCTCTAACAAATTCCCTTTCTGGTGTTCCAGCTTTTCGGGCTCTGGCAACGGCTGCATCTTGGATTTGCTCTCACCGCAGTTGGAAGATACCGGCCTCAAGACGACGACTTTCCTGCAGCACTTCAAGGACGTCGTCACGACGAAGTTCACGGGGAGGGACCACCACCTGCCGCCGCTGCACCCCGCCCACCCTGCGCACCCGGCGCACCAGCAGTCGGCGCTGCACCACCACCACCACCAGCAGCAGAGCTTCTCCACCATTTTTCCCACGTACCTCGGCATGGACCGCTCCTCCGCCGTCGGCGGTTGCGGCGGGGGCGGCGGCCTGGGCGTGGGCGTGGTCACCAGTTCGGCCACGGCCCTCGGACCGGGAGGCCTAACCAACGGTGGCGGGGGCGTGGTCAGCGGGGCGCTGAACGGACTGGAGGCCATGTCGGCCGAGTCCACCGGCCTGTGCCTGCAGGACCTCGTGAGCGCCGGGACGGCGAACGGAGCGGGATCAGCGGGGTCGGCGGAGAGCGCCACCACCACCAGCACGGCGCTCAGCAGCGGCAGCACCGGCAGCTCCACGGTGAACGGGGGCGGGAGCAGCGCCTCCGGAGCGGAGCACCTGCACAGCCACCACAGCCTGCACGACTCCAGCTCGTCGGTCAGCATCTCCCCCGCCATCTCGAGCCTGATGCCCATCAGCAGCCTGAGCCACTTGCACCACTCGGCGGCGGGGCAGGACCTGGTGGGCGGCTACTCGCAGCACCCGCACCACGCGGTGGTGCCGCCGCACACGCCCAAGCACGAGCCGCTCGAGAAACTCAGAAGTAAGTATCGAATAAAGGAGTGCGGGTTACGAAAGCCACCATTTTCGTGGTTTACATTCTTTGGAAAATGTTAAAATATTCATAGGAAGTGATTTGCATTCAGTGTTTAGTATTCGATTTCCATATTCTGAAATAATGCATCCAAAAGAAAACTTTATTTTTAAGACAAAGACTTTGCTTTTCCCGAATTCAGAACGACTGACAATTTCGTGGGCAATTTGTAGTGAAATTTGTGAGGGGCTTCTCACACATTGACAGCTAATTAGTGGGCCCATAACTCAGCCGGAATGATATACTCTGAGGTCCCCCTCCAAAGAGATCCCCTTCGATCGAAGCCATCAACAAGTGTCCACATTCTCATTGCTATTCATGGCGCCTCTGTGGGTCTCCGTTTTTTGTCTTGCCTCTGTCAGCGGCAGCTGTTGTCATTTCAATATGCGATTCGTTTTGGCCATCATTCACGCTCCGTGCCAAAAGCCCACTCCCCTGGCCACTTGTCGCTCCGCCCCTCCCCCTCCAGCCCCTCATGCATATTCATAATCATTGTGCAATCATTAGCGCATAATCGCCACAAAGCGTTTCAAAGGGAGCGGCCCGAAAAGGAGATGGGATGAGATACGAGTACGACTAAACAAATTTCAATTTTGTGCGCATGTCACGGCTAATTGAGCACCCTTCTGGCGTAGTGCCGAAGGCAACACTCCACCCTGCTCACTGTCGACTTCCCTTGGAGTTTCCCTTAGAAATCCGATATGTTCATCGCAGTCAAGTGTTTGTTGTTCCGATTGCTCTAATTGTTATGGGAATTTGGGCTCTTGGGAGGATGTTGTGCAGCCAAGTGAGCAATGCCACAGTTTCAAGTGCGCGATATGACAACCGAATTGGTTCTGGGGAAGATTTCTGGGAGGAGTCAGGGCAGTCCAGATGGACAGGGAACCTGTTGGGCGAAGCTACCACAAAATAACTAATACTTAATATTTTCTAAAATTAAATTTACGCTGCTAGGGAAGTTTTAATATAAATAAAAGCACGTAAGCTTAAAATAACTTTAATAAAAACATTTAATACCACGACAAGTAAAAGTTTAGTTCCTCGACGACGCGCACAAAATTTCCATTTGCATAAGAGATTTGTCTGCACTCGCCCAGAGATTTGTTGGCTGTCGCCCTGTCAACTCAACTCTGCCCCTTCGGGGTTAACAGCCCCGCCAACTTTGCACTTGTCTGCATCCCGGATTGCCGGGAAAGAGCCAACCTAACCGAACCTAGCCGAACCGAACTGAACGGAGGCGAACCCCTGGCCACAGATGTCCTGCCATTTATTTGCGTGCCAAAACAATTTAGCACAAAAATGGTGAGCATTTAAAATATGCACGACTGCAGTTATCCTTTGACACCCGTACAAACACGTAGATATTGGGAGCTGCAGGTGCGGGCCACGTTAACAGCTCGGAGCCACAAATTTCCACTCCTGTCCGCCTGTTTTCCCTCCCGCTTTCCCCCGCTTTCCCGCTTGTTGTCGTTATTGTTTACGCTCTTGTTTAAATAATGGCCACGCAACGTGATTCTGCTCCTGCTGCCGGCAGGATTTTCGTCAGACTCCGGAGCTGCAGTGCTGCAATCGGATTTTCAATTATTGGCCAATTTAATGGTCAGCCCCAAACCAACACAAATACGAACACCAACACCCACTCATACACAAACAATCCTCTCGTTTATAGATATTTATTTGTGTGCATTTATATGTGCGGCGGAGGTAATAATTTTTTACGATTGCACTTTTTTATGGGCCGTGTTCCACCTTTTAGTTTCGACTCTTTCGTTTTATTTTTGGTAGATCATTTTATGGCTTCGGTGCGTGTTTTTATTTCGCTGGCGGTGCTCAAAGGATTTCAAGTTCACGTTTTACACTAATTTAGACGGAGAGGAGACTTTTACTGTTAAACACATAACTCTTTAATATCTCGGGATTGTCGCCTAAATTATGTTGTCAGCAGCTGGGAGAAGCACCGACCTTGTCCCTTCGACTTTGTATTTCATATTTCACCATCGCGGCAATTAGGGAATTATCTCGGCTGTATCAGTGACTGTATCAACATATATCCACTGGCATCTATTTGCCCCGGGCAAACCAAACAACCCGAAACGAAACTGAAACCGAAACCGAAACCGAAACAGAACCAAATCAGAGCAGTTTACATTTCTTTTTTGGTTGCTCGGCAAATAATAGAATGTTGTTCTATTCCTATTTCTTTTTGTTTCTTTTTTTATTGCCAGCTAGTCCTTAGCTTGTTTGCCAAGTTGTTGCCACAGATACTACGAGTAGATGGAGAACTATTTGCCCATGACAATGTTTGTGGCTGATGCCGTTGATAAAATTATGAAATTACCAGCGTTTCAGTTCGGGTTTCTGGTGAAATCGTGCTGTTATCTGTTGTGTCTACACGGAGGTAATGCCCATCTTCCCGCTAAGTGTTAATGGCACGTGCAGCTAGCCCGGCTCTAAAAACACAGCGTAACAACATAAACAAAGGCCCCAGACGAAGTCCCCGTCTTGCCAGAAGTCCCGGGGATACACACCGTGTGGGGGCGGGGTCCTTCAGGACACCCGGCTGTGCTACTTTAAATTCCGCACCAACGCCCGTATTTGTCAGGCCTGCTCTTTATGAATATAAATACCTTTTATCGATTTTTTCTCGGCTGCGTGGCTCGCTCGCTTAAAGCCTTAAAGGATATCCTCCTGCGGGACTCAGCCAGTGCATTGCCCGCAAATCTCTGCGAAATTGCTCACATATGTCATTGGCTACTGGTGGAAACAGGGATCACACTCGAATTGGCCATGCAGGCACCCCGAGCTCCGTATAAATTGCACTTGCTGACCGCTCGGAATAATCAGCTCAGAACAGTGGTTTTTCGGACAACAAAAGAGATTAATTTCATCCAATGACTAGGCACTTTTGGCTGCATAATACATTTAAATTTAGTTATTGGTGTTACCTTTTTGTGTTTTCTTGCAACTCACCCGTGATTTTTTATTTACTTTATCAGAAAGTTTCGCACCACTGTGCGCTACTTACTGTAGATCTGAAACTACCGCAGAAGCTGCCATTTATCAATCCATCTGCACAGCTCTATCTCTGCGTTTCCTCTTCGCTGGCACTGATTTCGTTTATATAAATTATAATGTCATTATGGCAAGCAGCCACAGCCACAATCCAGAATCCACAACCCTCAATCACCATCCCCAATCCTCAACGCTCCCCACTTTCCTTGAAGCAATTACCTCGTTGCAGAAGTTCGTCGGGAAAACTTCATTCTCAGTCCGCTTTTCCGCCTCTTTTCTCATTATCCGGGCATCGTGCAATTTCGTAAAAATGTCGCATTAGAGATTATCTGAGGAAACAAACTTGTCCGGCGGACAGGACTGCTGGGTCCTTCGGTTTCGGTCCTTTGGCCGGTTTTTGTTGGCTGACCCAATGGCAGGAAGGAATTCGAGCTGACAGTCGGGCAAATTACTGGCCAAAGTCATTGCAGTGGAAAACTACAAGCCAAAAAGAAGGGGGAAATCTAGTCTGGACAGAAAAACACAGCCCTGCCCTTTTTTGGGGTCGTCTCCCCTTTGTCTTATCTGCAGTCCGAACTAATGAGTCCGGGTTTTTGGCCAGGACTCTCCGGCCATTTGGCCAGGGTTTCTGCTTTCTCTCTTTGCTCCCGGGACATGTCAATGTGATTTCCGAGATTTTATGCGGCTCTTCTCCGGTTGGTCAAGTGCCCGGAGCTCATTATGGGGCCATAACATATGGTCCGGGCCTTTGTCTCGGCCAAAGGATTAGTGCTGCGAGACATAAAAATTAACTCGCACGACCATTGCCTAATTTTCATGACTCCGAATTAGCCTAATTTGCAGCGAGGGTTGCTCGGGATCTCGGGATTTTTACGGCATATGGCCGCAATTTCCACGGACATCAACACCTCGCCAGCAAATGTGGCATGAAATTGGAAAATATTTCTATTTGCGGTGGAGGGAGCGCCGCAAGTGTTTAACCCTTTGCTGCCCAGCGAGTGGTTTACAATAAAAGCAAGTCCTAGTCCCGTTGCTGTTTCCGTTTCCATTTCCAATTCCAATCTCAATTCCAATCCCGAAACCGAAGCCCGAACCCAATCCCAATCTCAATCGCAATCCCAATCCCCTTTCAACTGTCACATTAATCGTTTGTTTTTGGCCACCAACTAAACGTTGCTTACGCTTGACATTTTCCTTCGCCCGTTTCCTCCCTTTTGCGGGGCATGTCCTTTGTTGGCTCGTCCTTTTATTTTGTTTTTGTTTGTTTTGGTCTGGTGAGGTTTCCTCCCGACTGCGAGGATTCCTCCTGACAGTCTCCGTCTGCGTCTCCGTCCCCGGTAATTTATTGCTCCGGCTGCCGTGTCGTGTGTCAAAAGTTTTTATGTGGAAATCTGTCTATGAATGAGGCGTATGTGTGCAGGATGCTTAGAGCCACACACAAAAAAAAAAATCCGAATCATTTTCGAATTTTTGTGCAGTTTCACCCGGGCAACCCTCGCTTGATTAATTGTGCCCGCCCCTCGGGGAGTGTTTGTCTTTGACTTTTGTTTAGGCCATCACAATAGTCGCCAAGTCAAACAGATTTACCACTGCTCATTTGTTTGCTTAGCGCCTAAATGCCACTGCAAAATGGCTGCGGAAAGTGGAAAGGGGAAAACCGAAATCCGAAGTTGAATTCGAAAAAGCGAAAGTGACGCCGACACTTGTTGTCACAGAACGCAGAACGCAGAGCACATAACACGGAAACTTTGACATGTGCAAAACGCTCTCGACAAACAACGCCCACCTCTATTGACACTTGCCACTCATCCGGATTCGATACCCACTCGAAAACCTTGAAAACAGTGTAAAACTCGGGCGACAACTGGCCGACAAATGTCACCGCCAGCTGACAGACGACGACAATTTTTCCGACCTGTCAGGCGGGAAAACAAAACACCAGCCAATGCGGGAAAATCAAACTCAAATTAGTCGCTGGCCAAAACGCTCGGGAAATATTTACACAGAATAAAATCGCCGTGCTACGTGATTTTTGCTGCGTTTTTTCGAATTCTCCGTGTTTTTTTCTGGGTTTGTGTTTTTAGAGCGTGTCGTTAGAAAAATATTTTTACGATACGAAGAACGGGCGATGACGACCCATTTAGCTCAGGTCGGAAATCAAATTTGGGATGGGAATGGGAATGGGAGCAGCGGCTATCTATTAAGATTCATTCAGCTGTGTCTTCAAAATCAAAGGTTGCAATGAGGCGTTCACTAAAAAATGAAAGTGGAAATTAGGATGCAGTGGAATTGGTGCGAGAAGCAACGTCTCATATAACAAATTCTGGAAGGGAACTATACAAAATTAGCATCTGAAGAACACAGTTTGACTAATAACGATTCAACTTAAATTGATTTAACACTTGTAAATCAGTCTTGACCAAGCAAACGTATTAAAGATAAACACCGAATCATTGTTTGTTTAGAATATGTTCCGCCCAGCCTCCAAGGCGCTCATAATAAAGCAATGAAATTTTAATTACCCCAAAACGCAGTCATTAGAGGCCATAAAAATACTCTTCACGGAGAAATTTGAATTTCGAACGGCATGTGGGGCTGTTGTCGTCGACATAAATTATGCAACTGGCAATAAACTAATTGAGCCATGGGCCACTTCCAAGGGGATGACATTTGTGACTCCTAGGGGTACCGAAGCCCCACTTCCCCTCCCCAAGAAGCAGCAGGCTAATTGTTTCGAATGTCGCCGCGGGGCTCCTTCACTTTAAAACCACATTAAGCGACAGCATGTGAGAAGGCCATAAATCAGCAGCGGTATGCAAAGGAAGTGGCCAGAATATTTAGGAGGAAGTCGGGACCCAGGGACCATATGGGTGCACACCTTGTTCTTCGCAGGAAAACCCCCAGAAATCAATTGCCACGGCCATAAATCTGTGACGAAATCGGCTCCGAGGGGAATCATGTCAATGGCTGACTAATTAATATCAAAATAGGCGTGACTAACTGCGGCAATTATTATGTGGCCGGGCGGCAAATTGCCTGACTCATTTGGCGCCGCAAGATTTATGGGCCAGGAGTCCACGGCGATTCCCGCGATTAACTTTCCCCATGGCAACCCTTTGAGCACGAACCAAGTAACGAGTAATCCTGCCCTTGGAAGCCATTAAGTTGGGCTCCTCCAGGAGCAATTCGCTTTTTAATCGGACTAACTAAGAGCCCATTGCAGGCTGCGGTGTCATAAATCCTTTTATGAGCTCCTTTACGGCTGCTTCTTTCTCGCCTAGCAAAGGCAACTTTCGCGTGGGAAGAATATCCTTAAGTCAAACCCCCTTTAGAATTTACGTACTCTAGTTGAAACATAAATTTTTTTGTAATTTTCTCTTGCCTGCGCTGGCTTGTTCTTTTCAGTTTGGGCCGAAACCGGCGATTTCCGTGATAGTCATAGCTCCATGACCGCCGTAGCAAATAGTTTGGATAGCACCCACCTGAACAACTTTCAGACGTCGTCCACATCCTCGCTGTCGAATCGGAGTCGGGACCGCAAAGATGGTGAGTAGGAGTTCTCCCCGTCCCACCCCAAAAATAGTGCTTCCAGCCGAATCCGTTATCGCCGGGGGCCCATCGATAAGGAACATAATTTATAATAATTTCGGAAAGCGTGGCCAACGATTCCACCTTTGTCGGCGAAATTTACTCGACCGGGTCCGTTTAGTTTTCGATTAGACTGCCTTTGATTTGCGACCTCACGACGACAGCCACGGAAAGCGAGAGAACGGAGCCGAACGCAATGATATTTCACATGGGGCAGTAATTTAGTTTATTTGATTAAGTTTGCGGCAGTTTCGGTTCTCTATTCTGTCTCGCTTTCCGGGCCCCACAGCCCACGGAACACAAAAAGCGCGCCGCATGATCGATGACATTCGGGAACATACATTAACTGGTTATAAATCTGTTTGCCGGCGGTCCGCCTTTGAACTTTTCGGGTGGTGGGTGGGTGGTGTTTGCTGGCGACGCCTGAAGGTTGCATGGCAATTAGTAACGGTGGCCTGATGACGCCGGAAGCCAGAGGCCGCCGAGCAAACTCAGACAGACGCCGCAACCAAACCGCTTAGCGACTGCAACTACTGAACAAACACTCCAGACAAGTTTCGGTTGCAAGGGTCCTTGCTTTCTATATCCAGATCCATACGAAGGAGTAATTAATTAGTTAAACTTATTTGATTTGTTCTCTTTCTCAGGCAACCGCAGTGTGAACGAGACCACGATCAAGACAGAGAACATATCAAGCTCGGGCCACGATGAGCCGATGACCACCAGTGGCGAAGAGCCCAAGAACGACAAAAAGAACAAGAGACAGCGCCGCCAGAGGACCCACTTCACCTCGCAGCAGCTCCAGGAGCTGGAGCACACATTCAGCCGGAACAGATACCCGGACATGTCCACCCGCGAGGAGATCGCTATGTGGACCAATCTTACAGAGGCTCGCGTCAGGGTAAGTTCACTTAATAGGGTATTAAAACTTATAATTAGGTGTAGAAATTAAGTTTTTTTTGTGACATAGCTATTGATATTTACTAAACGTTTGTGCCCCTTTCCCCGACTTTACACCAACATTACCGCGCTGATGCTCGAATTAATTGCCAGCCTCGCCGCAAATGGCAAACAAACGTGGGATCCGAGCGGTCCGGCCACATTATGCGGCCATTATAGTCCGGGCCCCAATTATATTACGGACCGCAGGAGTCGCGACCGCAATGCAGCCGCACGGACTCGTAAATATGTCGCCCGTTTGGCATTGGCTTAAACCCCCTTACGGCCAATACGACCAATAGGGCTCCCAAAAAGAAGGACCGATTTCCCTGCGCCACCCGGGGATTTATGGGCGGCATTCGTGGCAAGGAGGAGGGGGTGTGGCGGGGTGTTGCCATAAATTGGCGCAGCTAAAACTGCAGTTGGCAGCGTTTGCAGCATTTGCGGGCTTATCGAACGGCCGACCTCAACTGAACTGCAGCGAGTGGCGCGGAATCGGAGTGTTTGCTCAATATCCGTTCTATTGACACGGCCGGGGCATTTGTCCGTGTCCGAGATACAATGGGGTACTCTTCTATTTGGCTAGCGAGGTGGATGTGATCGAATGGCACTTGGTAACAGTGCAGCTTCTAGGTGGAACTTACCTACTGTTTATACAAGAGGTGAAAAGATCATGATATCATTTTATAGAACACTTGGCAGTTTCAAAATTTATTAAATTATATAAATATAGTACAACATTTAAATAACTGAGGTACCCATCCGTCTTCTTCGATAAACAATGCGTAATGTGGAAGAAGAACTAACAACGGGGAACGGAGTTGTAGAAGATATCTTGGCCGCACAACAGTTGTAATTGTTTGTAAACACGATAGTTAGTTGGACAAACAATTGGAGTTGTGGCGCCAAGCGGCAAATACTCTCCAGATATCGGAGGTATCTGTATCTGTACGCATATCTGCCTCTATTTCCATTACCATTTCCACTTCCATTTCCATGCGCCGTCAGGACGGAAAGACAGTCAGCAGACAGCGGGAGATATGATAGACAAATGATCGATGATCGCCGATCGCTGATGGTGATGGTGATGGCGATGTGATCGGGTTGGCGATCATTGTCATTGGACGTATGGCGACATCGGCGTGGCATTAATTGTACAGCTAGAAGTGGTTGAGCAGAGCCGATGGGAGCTATCGCCGAGGGCCATTAGCCGGCGAAGGGAGAACATCTGCGAGGAAGGCTTCATGGTGCTTCATGGTATTCCTATGCAAATTCGCCCGGCCTCTCGCATATGCCCGGAAAACCTGGCTATCTGGAACTCCCCCGTGCACTTGACAACATTTATAAAGAAATTAGCTGCGGCCCAGAGCGACGGGGGAGGGGGAAGGGAATGGTGCCAATCTAAACATGTGTTCCTCGCATAAAGCAGCTAAATGCATAAAATATTGATACAGTTTGTTTTATGGTCCATTATATGATATTGACAAAACGGTTGGCTCGGTTTCCGACTTTTCCACCCTCCGAAAATGCAAAACAATGCCCGGACTATTTGTCATCGCTCGCGAGGGTTGTTTAATGAATTAGAAAACCGCACACGAATTAATGATGATCGCGATCATGCCTTTGCGACTGTCTGAGGGGTGGCTCACATTTGACTTTGACTCCGGCTGCCCATTGTAATACGGAGGCAATAAAACTTATCAAATATACAAAAGGATTACTTGCCAGTGCAACTCCGGCCGGGATGGGCCGTATAAATCTGGCCGGGCTTTAAACTGTCAAAAAAGAGCAGCCCCTCTGAAGGGAGAGCTCTTTCTGCTCCTGTCTCCGTTTTTGCTGCTGTTTCTGTTTCTGTTTCTTGGGCCCTGATAGCTACTAATCCGGGGATTTACATGCGCCGGCAATTATGGCAATATGTTCGCCCCGTCTGTCCCATTGTCTCCGATTTCCATTCCCCGGTTTCCGTTCTCCACTCTCTTTCACTTTTTAATGTGTCAAATAGAACTCACTTTTTAATTCAATTACCAGCCAAGGACTGGCAAAAACAAGGCCCATAAAGGCATTTGTCGCTGCCCTCAATCGGGAACGGAACAGAGTTCGGGATTCAGGGGGTTGTATCGAGTATCGAGTGTTTTTTGTGAGCTCGCTTTATGGTCAGGTGTCGCCAATGGCCCGGAAATGGGAACAGCACTTGCCAATCGCTGAAAGTGTATAAAAAAGCCATTGGGAGCGGCCACAAAGGAGCCACAATATGCTGGGATGATTCGAATGGTTCAATGTAGTGGATAAGCTAAGGGGAAGGGTTTATTAACAGGCTGGGAAAACAAAGCAATTGTGACTTTTTTGTAAACTACAGAGTGAAAACTGTAGATAAAATAAATCTAGATTAATAGCTTGATTTTTTAGGGGTTAACTCTTGGATGTTTAAATATTGTGAGCTGGAAAGTAAAGTAAACTTATTTATGGGAAACCCTTGGCAATTAGGCTACCCATGTTTTCCTCAACCGTTTGACTTTATTTGTTTCTGTAGTAGCCGTGATTAGGCTACTTTTTGCTCACATATGTTCGTATATCTGCAGCTGTAGTCGAACATCGGACCATATACTCCGACTGGAGTATCGAAATAACATATATCTGTGTAGTCATTCAGTCAGTTGAGCACACAAAGAGACAGCGCTGCGTGGAGTAGTCCACGTATCGATGTTATCTGGTAATTTTCACTTGGGCACGGCTATCAGTCGCTAGAGAAGAACCCCGGAAATGGAGACCCCGTCCGCTTCTCACATTCGGCAAATAAAAAACGTATTTAGCTGCAATTTGCGGCCATCAATCATGAGAGCCCGCACAAAAAATGAGGCCCTAGCTTCTGCCACATGGCCACTTTTTGGCCACTCATATTTGACTTTGCTGCTTTTTTCGGATTTTTCCCGTCCACAATTTACCTGATGAAGCGTTGCGGGACTTGCCCGTCGAGTGCCATTGATGCTTTCATCAAAACCAATTAGAATTTTCCACAGGACCCTGCGCCGTTGAGTGGAAAATTGCGCTGTTTTTTGCACTCCCTCATATTTCACTTTTTCCCTTTGCGCAGAGTCGCCAGTTTTCACTTTTTTCTGCAGGCACATCAATTGGCCATCAGCGTTTTCCATTTTCCGTCTGCCTGGCTTTTCTTTATTTTTTGCTTTTGCGACTCCGGCAACTTGCTAAATGATACGTGAAAATGACAGCTGACGAGATCGATGACGTTAGTTTTGCATCCTTGATGATGCAGGAGATCCTTGAGCTCCTGATGGGCCCTAGATTGTGCTGTTGATGATGATGATGGTGATGGCGATGGCGATGGGGCTGAGCGATGTACCTTGACAAATTGACACATTGCCTCGGGGTAGGGATTTGATTTAGGTGCGGACTCTCCCTGGGAAACTGAAAAAACTCTCGCTTTCGCTACCAGCTCATGCGATTTCAATTAACTGCCGCGACTAATTAGATTACGGCAATTGCCGCTAAATTAGCTCTGCTGGCACGCGGCCATAGTTTTCCACTTGTTAGCGCAGCTCGGAACGTCTCAATTAGAGTTTTCCCAGGGAAAACCAACACTTTTTGCATAGATCAGCGCGTGTCGCACTTTAGTCACGGCTACTAGGGGAAAGGGGCAGGGGAGTTTCCACAACGCAGGACGCAGGATACATGGGATTTGGGCTCGGACGAGGGGTGCAGACCTGCATCGGCCATAAATCTGCAACCCCGCAAGCCGGAAACCGGCGACCGGCGCGTTGATTTAGGGACAATGTGGCAATGCGGCAACAAGCCATGAAATTCGAATTCGCAGCTTTAATTGCCCCGACTAAATTGCGGCTCTATCTGTGGGAACCTTGGGTGCGTAGGTCTTTCGAGTATCTTAAAGCCCGGCCAGAGAAGTTGAGAGCAAGAAACTCATCAAGATGCTGGCAACGTCTGCGCAGCTCTTTGTCATTTGTATCTGTATCTGGCACGAGTATCTTTGTCTGCCCCCGACATCCGTATCTGTGCAAACTTCAGCCATAAATTACAAAGTTGCCATTTTGTTTTTATCTCCTCGGGAGCGCTGCTCGCCTTTTTCCGTGCACTTTCTGTGCAAAATAATTTTGATTTATTCCTGCGCCCTCGCAACTTTTGCCCCACGCCCCCCACTTTTCGGTGGTGGCAAGCCGAGTTTATTTATATAAAGCTCTCCATTAAAGGCAGGCGGCTGGCTGCCTGGCAGTATTTATGTATATATTTGTATATTTATAATTACTGCACATGCGTATTGCGGGAGCGCTTTTGGGGGAGTTTTGCCGTTCGCCCTCGCAGATACATAAATTTTCGAGTAATAAATTATAAAAGAAAATGGCCGACAGTGCTGAGTAGAAGTTGGGCTTTAAGACTTTGAATCTGGCATTAAGACAATTCCCAGGTTAGAATTAGAATGAAGAGCACTTGTAACAGCTTTCTAAGACATTACATACTTATAAAATTTAATAAGTTTTAATAAGTATTTCTTGAATAACCAATTTACTTATTAACCTGTATTTTTTTTGCTTTTCCAGGTGTGGTTCAAGAACCGACGGGCCAAGTGGCGCAAGCGGGAGCGCAACGCGATGAACGCGGCGGTGGCGGCGGCGGACTTCAAGTCCGGCTTCGGGACGCAGTTCATGCAGCCGTTCGCGGACGACTCGCTGTACAGCTCGTACCCGTACAACAACTGGACGAAGGTGCCCTCGCCGTTGGGCACGAAGCCGTTCCCCTGGCCGGTGAACCCACTGGGCTCGATGGTGGCCGGCAACCACCACCAGAACTCGGTGAACTGCTTCAACACGGGCGCCAGCGGGGTGGCGGTGAGCATGAACAACGCCAGCATGCTGCCGGGCTCGATGGGCTCCTCCCTGAGCAACAGCTCCAACGTGGGCGCCGTGGGCGCCCCCTGTCCGTACACCACCCCCGCCAACCCGTACATGTACCGCTCGGCCGCCGAGCCCTGCATGAGCAGCAGCATGAGCTCGAGCATCGCCACGCTGCGGCTGAAGGCCAAGCAGCACGCCTCCGCCGGCTTCGGCAGCCCCTACTCCGCCCCCCTCGCCCGTCTCGCGATCCAACTCCGCCGGCCTCTCCGCCTGCCAGTACACCGGCGTGGGCGTCACGGACGTGGTCTGAGAAAACGCCCTGGGTGCGCTGCTCAACCAGCACCAGCACCACTTGCAGCACTTCTCGGGCGGATCGGTGGGCTCGGTGGGTTCGGTGGGCGGGGGGTGCCGAGCGGGATGCAGCAGCACGGCGGCAACATGCTGCAGCACAACAGCGGCTCCGGCGGCCTCCTGCTGGACCACTCCGACCTGGGCCTCGTCGGCGGCGGAGGAGGGGCCAACAGCCACCAGGACGAGGGCAACCACAGCCTGGAGGGCGGCAGCAAGTCCCCCCTGGAGGCGCCTCTGGCCAACAGCAGCGGCAACAACAACAACGACAACGACGACGAGGACGTCATCGATTGAAGACGCTGGCCCGAGCCGAACTAAAAGGCAGGCAGCCGCCTAGCCCTAAGCATTCATAATAATTTTAGATGTTTGCCTACTAAGGATAAATACCGTAAAGCTAAGGAGCGGAGATCCCTTCGGAGATGCAATTTTTTGAAGAACAATAACTACATTTACCAGCGGGTCACTCCGATTATTTGCATTGAGGTCACGAGTAGACGCCAACTACGTTCGATCGCCCCAAATCCAGAAATAAGTGTTTTTGTAAATAAAAGCAAATATCTAGTTGTAAGAAGCGGACCCTAACTAATCAAGCCAAATAGCCAGCCCAAAGAACATATAGCCACTCCTAGTTCCACCCTCAGTTCCCTCGTATATCGTATATATAAACCAGAAACGTATCAAGATTGCAGGCAGCGAGGCCGGCACTCTGGAGCCAAGCCAAGTCGAAAACTATATCAGAAGCAGAAGTAGCAGTTTTTAAGGAGTTGTCTAGTCGTATAGAGATCCGCATATGGCATATACTGTCTGTCTGTACGAGTGTGTGTGCAGTGTATATCCCCACTAAAGCGCCCCTATAAATATAAACTATTTAATAATTGTACACTTACATTACTAGTTATAGAAATTGAATCAAAAGAACAATAAAAATATGGAAAAAAACACCCACATGCACGTTGGCGTTGGCGAGTGAATTACGAGGGCAAATTGCGGTCAACCGCTGGGATAACGGATGGCTTTTCCCGCCGGAAGAGCGGAGTGGGAAATGGAAAAATTAAAAAATCAAATTGTAATTTACAGCCGCCGGGGGGTTAAGCGATATATGCCAATCGTTTGTTTTCCGGCGAACTTAATTCGAGGCAGCTTTTCGGGGGAGGAAAGTCGCCGCTTTCTGGGCGATGGGCCAGTGCTTAATTCCAAGGTGGACCTGGTGCAAAAAGATCCATCCATCAATTTATTCATTACAGCGAAATTATGTCGCATTTATATGCACCCCGCCGACCGCCGAAGTGACAACCCCCGGAAAATCACCGCACAATAAAAATAATAATAAAAGGACATCCGCGCGAGGGTTGCTTTCCCGGACCGGGCACCAAATTTGAATTTCATATGCTGCCCGGCTTGATTGAAGCCGGCTAATAAAGTGCCCGAAATGGGAAAACCGGGGGAGTAAGATTTCCCGCTGCGTTAAGCATCCATTTAGGGGGGAGGCGGGGGGCTAAACTGCGACCCGGCGACCGTTTGATTTATTTTATTCCCCTTTGCCCGCTGTTAATGTTTTAATAAGATTGATTTTATTGCCGCCTGTGCGCGTGGGTGGATTTCGCCTGCTGGGGAGTCAAAGGGTTAATAAGTTGCGCTCCAGCTGTTTTACGAACTCAGCGATTGTCTCTGCTAGGATGTCTTCCAAATTTGCTTTAGATCTGAGCATGTTTGCGAATTTAAGAGCGCTGTGTCCTATCTGCTGCATTTGCTGTATCGGCTTCCACACTCGCGTAATTAACTTTTCGGCGTAATTAATGCCGAGCCTAATTATTGTTAATCAAGCTCAGGCCGTCAACCGGCAGAGCAGCCGAAACGGGCCGCATAATGGATGAGCCGCAATTAAAATCAACTTCCTATATAAATGTTCGTGGGTGGGGGAAGCACAGAGATAATATCGTGAGTCACGCAAAACAAAAATTTTGAAATTGGTTAAAAAAAGAAAATTCATATGAACTCCCAATTTAAGAAGTCTTTTGAGTAAATAATAATGAATATGAACAAAAGATAAATATTTTATTGATTTTCTTTTTGGGTTTAATATTAGAAAGAAAATTATTATATTATATTTTCCCATAGTGCATACTCATCTTATATAGTACCATCCCATCTGAAGAGCTCTTTTCAAACTCCTCATCACTTGTTCGATAGCTCGCGCAAAAGAAGCGCCATCTTGGAGCAGTCTTAAGACACGACGCATGCTGTCAGCCATTATTTGCCTGCCCCACCCCCTGGGGTCCCACACCCCGTTTGGAGACCCCCCGCCTCCCTTCCCCGGACCAGTTCACATGTAAAGACAATCAGAGAACCAGTCGAGCAACCCGGCAAGTTGCGCTTCTCTTACTGGGGACCCGGTTCTTGGCTGATTCCCCATCATTTACTTTGTCAGTGTGCGGCAGCTTCATCATTATTATTGCGGCCCGCTTCTTTGTTTGCAACACACAAACCCGTCATCGTGATCATCGTCATCATCATGGTCTCCATCTTGGCTGCTGTATTTTTCCCTTAGGTACTTGTCTTTCTTAACTCATTGCGTTGGCAATAAATCTTCGACGCCTTATCTGCCAGGCACACAGTTTGGGTTCGGATTTACCCAGCCCCCCAGAAATCCCCACTAACTGACTTTCACTTGGCCATATGTCTTTTTGCTCGCACTGGAGGATCTATGGCACCTGCTTAGACAAAGGGTTTTCGGCTTAATGAGTCGCCGACAATTTAAATTTCGATTCTGAGCCGCCTTTACTGCAGCAGCTTTCGGGCCCATTAAAATGAGACTGAAATATTAACTGGGGAAATCTGAATAATTGGCAGCGTCCCTCAGCAAACAAACCCCGAAACGAAGATAATAGCATCGAATGCCCCATCTGCTAGTGGCCCCATTTATGGCCAAAACAAAATGATGCCCATAAAACTCGCTCATATTTGACTGGCCTTTATTTATTTATTTCAAATTTACTTGTTGGCCATTTTATGATGCCAAATTTTGACCTAAAAATCATAAAAATTGTAATCAAAATGTTTGCCCGGTTTATGGCCAACAAAAAGGAGGTCAGGCGAGGGCGGCTCTTGGTCAGGAGGAGAACGACGAATCGGCGAATTCTAATAACGTCTAAACGCGAGTCCGGCCAAGAAGAGGAAAGGCAGAAAGGAAGGGAAAGAGAAAGACAGAAGGCTCAGCGCTTATGGCTTTTTAATGGTGCCGTGTGTCGGTTTTGTGGCAAATAAAATGGCGCACATTAAAAGAGGCCAGAAGGAGCTGCCCCACCAATTGCAGCGAGACCTCTGGCCCTGCTCCATATTGGGGTCATGCATGGCAGCCCCGGGTAAATAAAAAATACATAAAAATATTTTACGAGGCCCCAGGCCCGGGAATAGAAGGAATAGACGGAGCCCGAGGAGCTGGAAATTACAGGATAGTCCACAGTCAACAGAACGGGCAGGATTGCAGTAAAATGGCGGCAAATAAAATTGACAATATTGTCATGCGCGCGATTTGATGCCACTGTGTGGGGCTCGGCAATCCTTGGACTTGGCAACAAAATGAGTAAATTTTAATTTACTAAAAAGGCATAAACAAAAGCAGGGGTTATTTAATGATGTCTTGTCCCTTTCGTTATTACAATTATTACTCAGTTCAATAACTAGTTTCAAATGGAAACAAACAATCATTTATATTCGATAGATTTCTTGCAAATAAAGTTTAATAATATATTTATCACAGCCCATAAATACCAAGTAGTAAACGCCTCTTTGGTTTTCTAAATCCACGCAGTTAATTCCCATTTAGTGTGTTTTGTCGCGAATCTTTATTTCGTTTTATCTGGAACACTAAATTTTTATAGAGTTCTCTTGGTGTTGTTAAATGTGAATAAGTTTGCCGACGGCAAAACGCTAAAAGATTTGCCCTTTATCAGTGTACCCCATTCGGAGTCCCCACCCCCTGGAAAAACCCCTCCCCCCCGCAAATCCTTGAGAGTGTGGAGCCAATGATTATTCCGGGTTTTGTCATTTCAATTCGCATTATCCTTTGCACTTATTTTACTACTTTGTGCGCTACTGCTTCTGTTTTTCCTCCCCGCCTTCCTTTTTCCAACTGTAACTGTAATTGTGGGCTGGTGTGGGTGAAAGGGAAACGGATGAGGGTGTGTTTGTGTAATGGCGGGTTGCGGGTGTCCTTCTCCCTCCCCCTTCCCTCCTCTTCCCCTTCTCCTTTCGCCTGTCGAGTAACTCGTATTGTCATTGTGCAAATAAAATATGTCACGAATCGCCCACTCCGCTCCTTGTGCTTTTGGGTCCACCCCAAAAAAACCGAAACACGCCCCCTGCTATGTGTGTGTATCTAACCTTTTGTGCCCATTGTAGTCCTTTGTACAGGACTCACACATTGAGAGCAAATGTTTTGGTTGCTTACGAGCATCAAGAAATGAGAATCGCTTTTATATAAACTTGCCTGAATGGCGATGGGCGGTTGATGTGGTTAAAAGGAGTCAGCCAGCCAGCCCTGATTCTACTTTCTGCACAATGAGAAAATATTACGAAACTTATTTCAGCTTGAATAGGGTTTTCAAAATATTTAAGTATTTGTTTACCTGAATAATGAAAGGACAGCCTTTTATTTTTGTACTTGGAGATAATTTGTTATTGATTTAAATACTTGTTCTTGATCTTGTAATATTGTATTCGCATAACTTTTACAGGGGATACAGTTTAATTGTCCCTGAATTTTTAGGCAGCCAAACTCTTTCGTTATCCCCTCCCTGAAATCCATTCAAACGCTTTTCACTTGACAAGCCAGCAAAATAAACAAACTACACAGAAAGCCAACGCCAAAGCCAAATCCAAATCCATGATTTCAGCTGCCAAATCCTTTTCAAAGCTGCAGCCAGGTGAAAAATAACGAAATATTGTATTTTTCATACATTTTTATCAAATATAAATACACACTAGTGTGTGTGTGTGGGTGTGCGAGTGGCTGAATCCGTGTTCGTGTGTGTGGGCCACCAACTACACAAGTTTATAAAAGACTCTCGACGGCCCTCTCCTTTTTGTCTTTGCGTTGAGTGCTTTTTGGCTAAATGCGAAATCGATTGGAAAACAATTTCCAATTTTTAAAGAATTATCGCCGCCATATTCGCGCATGCTGCACTAAATCACACATAAGCAACCTCTAAATCTGCTACCCAGGACCCCAGCACTCCCCAACACACACACACACACCCACACTCACACTCACATGTGCGATGAGGGGCAACCTTTTCGCAAAGCTTTTCCTTTTGGCTCGTTTATTTCCTTTTTATTTTCCCTTTCCCGGCTCCGGCAATATTTTCCATTTCATTTTCTGCGCGGTTGGCAGCGCGTTTAGCTTTGGCTGCATGCCTGGCTGACTTTCTGTTATACTAAACATATACATCTGCACATATATACTGAACAGCAGGGGATACAGATATAGTTTTTAACTAAAAATATAATTACTATGTATTGGTTTTATCCTTACTATCACTTCCCAGTATGTAGTTTTAAATTTTCGAAATTCTTTAAAAATATACTTAACTGAGTTGATACAACTTCATTCCCCGCTCCTTCTCACATGTCCTTGAGTGTACCCTTATGGGTGTTATCTCCACCGCAATAGCTACTGAGCTCCAAGAGGGCAGAGGGGCAATTGGGGGAGGCTAGGGGACTGGCAACGCAACCCGCAGCCATTTAGTTTTATGTGCCCCGTCGGTTGGGTTATTGCACCTTTGACTCGACTCCATCGCCATCTGAGTGCGAGCTCCACCTTCGACTGGAGTTGTCACCCCGAAGGGCCACAATGCCACAAAGCATTCCGCATGCCGCATGCGAGCCATTTGTTATTATCCGCTCCCGGCAAGTGTGGGCCCGAATCTCGGCCGCAAGTATTTCCTAATCAGGTTTTAACTACTAATAGGATTTCCGAGGTGGCGAATCGTAATTTACATGGCTTTGGCCGGGATACCCAAAGAATTGAATTGGAATCCAGAGCAAAGCTGCCGCTAATGTATTGCAGATTATGGTAAATCCCTCGGCTACTTCCCTTTCCCCCTTTCCCCCTTCTCCCGCTCCTTGTGCTCAAGGCCCTGGATGCTCACACGTGTCCTAGCACTGAGTGGATCCGATGGAGACTCCGCTCAGGTCCCTGAAGCGCCTGAATCTCTCGATTCTCTGCCGGCGAAGGCAGCGCCGCACCTCGAAGCCCACGTTGCACACCACCAGGCACAGCATCACGACGATGATAATCCCGGCGAAGATCAGCAGGAACCAGTGGAAGTAGCAGCTCATGGTCACGGGCCTCTTGAGCCAGGCGTTCCAGGACGCGGTGCACTCCTCCTGGACGCACCTCCCGCGGAGGTTCCTCACACACCCCTTGGCGCAGCATCCGTTCGGACTGAAGCGGCCACAGGACGTCAAGTCGGTCGAGGGATCGGAGCAGTTGGCCGACTCGTACTCCTCCGAGAATCCCAGGACGGGCGGAAGGATGAGCTGGACCAGAAGGAATCCCAGGGTGAAGAGATTGGCCAACATGTTGCACTCCTCTTTTGCGAGCCAATCACAGTGCGAAAGTCATGTCCTTCACTTTACAGATTTGGAACGTTTTTATTAAATGATATTTATTTATTACTGGCTTACTGGGTTCACAGATCTAGTATAAAGATACATGGAAAATAACTTGTATTAAAGAAATACACAATTCAAAATGTTGAGGAAGATGTCATTAATCAGAACTTTTTATTTTGCTCCCTACTATTCGTTGTTTCTGGCTTCCAGGACCACCTTGGCTCTCTCGGCCTCCTGTTTCTGCTCCTCAGTGTCCTCCTGTTCCTGCTCCTGCGGATCCTGCGGGGGAATATACTCCGGCGGATTGTTCTCCCGGGGATTTGGGATGAACGGAGCATGTGGCCAGACAGAGGGCTTCGCCTGCAGCAGCCAGAGCTCGTCGATCTGGCGTTGGAGGTACTGAGCTGCCTTCTGGTGACGACTGGCCATGAAGTAGGCGCATCCCAGCCAAACACAAGTGATTAGGACGACGCTGCAGAGGATCAGCACTTTGGTGGGAATGGGATCCAGGAAGGAGTTCGAGTGGAGGCTGGTGGGCTTGAATTGCTGGAAAGCCAGCGCTTCGCCGAGCAGCAAAAAGAAGAGAAAATACAAAGGCTGCATTCTCATCGCGCGGAATTTGTTGACTGAAGCTGGTTTTATCGGGGGTGCTGGATATATAGAGCCCCTTATCGCGACTTAAGTACGGGTATTTCCCAGAACATTTCCTTTGGGGCGCATGCCAACAATTTACTTGCTTGTTATCCCTAAAAATATTCAAATTTACATGCAAAACCAACACAAGTTCATGAGTTTTTCTATCTTTACTTAGATTTGTTCATTATTAATATAAAAAAAAACAAATTAAAAACTGAAATATTACAAACAATTTCAAAACATCAAAAGGCAATTGGAAAGTTGCGTTATCAACTAAGGGCAAACCAAAGTCGGCAAGAAATATTTTCAAGAGCCGTCCCATCGTCTTTATTACTTTCAGTTGATGATTGAATTCCGTAGGGCTTAATAATTGTGGCTGCGTTTCTGGGGGGAAGTGGGGGGAGGGCATCTGCGTCTTGATTAGAAGTGCCACATCAGCTCACAACTCACTCGAACTTGTTCAAAGAGACCGTAAACCAAATCGGCATAACAAAGTGATTCTAATGTAATTCGTGATTTTGCATAATTATAAAGTTAATAATTAAAATTGTTGCGTGCACAAAACCAAAATGAAAACATTAAAATTTAATGATGATTTCGGCAGTTCAGGTGCATTGCACAATGCATTCGGCATTACTGGGCGCTCTTCGGGGGGAGGCACATCGGCAAATAACTAATGCGTAAATATTAGCAAACACGCCCCACTCCCCCGTCGATTTCCCCATAAATTTGAGGCACATATGCAGTGCGTTTGTAATAAGCAATCAATTATTATTATTGAATTTCGGGCATGGCCAGGTGCAAAGGGGCGGTGGGCGTGGTTGGTGGGGCTTTCGCCTGGCAGCTGGTCAATGCCACTAATGCGTCTAATGAGAATTTAAGCACACTTCAACCCTCTCGGTCTTTGGCCCACCCCTCGGAATTTCGGAATTTTGCGTGGATTTGCACTGCACACAGAGCCCCAAGTACAGTTGTGCTCAGTCCAAATGCAAATGCAAATACAATTACATTTCGAGCCCATTTAGAGGCATTCTTGTTTGATTCTGATGCATTTTCCCGTTTTCTATTTGTGAATCGAACCTGCGAAAATCTGTGATTTTCTGGCTCCACGGATTGCAACATACATTAAGAGAGATATATTATAAAAAATGCTTTAACCGAAAAGTATTATAATAACACCAAACCAGTATTGTATATATTTTACAGACAAAAGTTCTCGTTAAAAGATTTACGATAGTAAACACATAGAGAACATTAGTTTTTCGCAAGCTTATTAAAAATCCTAACCCAATATTTTACCGAATATCCTTTCCTGTGTGTGGGTTTCCGGACTCCACAATGCCTCCCCGCCTAACTGGTATTCATGTGACCCTGCTAAACCGACATCGTTAATGATAATTTAATTATTGCACGGCATTTCGGGCTTTGCCGACTTACGCACTCCTGCGAACGAGAGCCTGCGGCCTGGCTAATTGCAGCAAATCTGCTTGGGGTCAGTTAGTCGTCCTTATTAACTGATAATTGCAATCACCTGGCTTTCCACCAGGTGGGCAGCGGAGCAGGAGAGCCAGTTGGGTGCATAAAACATAAAGCGGGCAAAGCCGCGAATATCGCCATTTACGAGCATTGCCAAGATACGAGGCACAAACAGTGACAGCTCAGAGTTGAGAGCGCGATAGGAACTTAACGCGCAAATGGATGCGGCACTGTAATAATAAAACAAAAGTGTCAGCCAAAGATATCGCAGGATATGCGCAATCCATATTGAAAATTGATTTCAATTTTTAATAGGCACCAGGCAGCGGCGGCGCTTTGATAAAAATGCCAGCACGCGGCAATCGCACAATCGCGGGCTTACTTTCAGAAAGATATATCCGGATCCGGATCCGGACTCCTGACGGGCGCTCTTGTTAAATATGGAAACAATATCGAAATGCCAACTGAAATCGGCTGAAACTTGCAAGTGAATGCCGAACGCGATATGAATATCTATATGGCTTCGCTGCCGCATTTATATTTGTTTTCGTAGCTGTCAAATCATATTTTAATCTGTTTTGATTGCTGACTTTTGTGCGAGGGATTTGGTACGACTGCAGCTGCCACAGCGGAAATGCAGCGGAAAATATTGCATTTTATTTTATTTATGCAAAAAAAGGCCAGGGAATTTATATGGAAAGCTCGTGCGCCCACCGCCCCCCGCCGCCCGATTTTGTCCGCATTTTCCGCTCGTGACTCCAGTTGCTGTGTGCGTTTTCCATTTGTTTCATTTGATGTGCCAGAGTTAAGCAGTAAAATCCACTTTTTACGAGTTGTCCCCGGATTCCTCTGCCGGCCACGCCCCCTCCAGCACTCCGCCTTTTTGGGAGCTTTGCGTTCTCATATGAGCGTAAGAAAAACCAGCAGCATTCGCTCGCTGAAATTTGTCAATAAAATATTTCGAGCTAGTGGTGGGCTAAGGAATATGTCAGCGCAAAGCAAGCAAGCATAGTTTAAGTCTTCAGATTGAAATTTACCCGACCATTACTCTGGGTCAGTGGATTCAATAAGTGTAACTTACCATCGCCATTCGTTGCTAATGTAAAATAATCAAGAGTATAAGCGAAATTTATTTATAAATTAAGGTGGTAAAGAAATATTTATAATTAGATAGTCAGCTTTAAATAGTTTTGTACTTAGATGGGTTGTATATCGCATCTCTAGCTCCAATTCTTCCCGTCCTGGGCTTTTCCCAACCGCCCTGCTCCGCGTGGCTTTGGCAGTGACTTAAATACACATAACCGTAGATGGCGGCAGTGGTCCTTGTCCTTTCCTCGTCCTTTTCCTTTCGCTCGCCCTTTTCCTGGCTAGATTGTCAACATATTAGCTTCAAATTGCTAAAGTTCTGCGACTTTTGCTGTTGCCTCATTTTCTCACGCACGCACAGCCACTAGTGCCCTCTCTTTCTGTTCCGTGTTGCCTCTCTTTCTGCGGCGCTGGCCCCGTCTCTTTCGCTCCGCCTGCGGGACCTCATTGTTTAATGTGGTGTTGCCAACTATTTTAGCCAAAAGCTCACACGGGTTGCGCGGCCGGGTGATTTGCTTGCTTAGCTTAACGTGGCCCGGAATTCCAGGGGCGAAGGGGGCTTGGGGGGTCTGGGGGGTCCGGCCGGATTCCGAGTCCGGCAGCCAACCATCCGGCTGTCCGCTCCCATCTCCGGCGGAATGCTTTCGCTTTTGGCGCTGAAGCGTTCGGTTGACATTCGTGAAATCTCTTAAAATCCCGAAGGTCGTTGCCAGGGATTTTCTCAGATTTTGCTAGATTTAAATGAATTAGTTGCTTTGGCCGGGCTGGCCGATTGATTTTCTGACCTTTTCGCTTTTTTCTGGCCCGCATAGCGGACTCTTCTCGAGGGTGAGTAGGCCAAACTGCAATTTGGCTTAAGAGCAATTGCAGCCATGACTCACCATTAGCTGCAGCTGACCCCAACCCCATAACTTGGCCCCCAAATGAGTACAAATGTGGTTCCCCGGCTGCAAAATGGTATGGATGAGGCCAAATTAGACGAGCGGGCAATGGAGAAAAATGTCCACTGCATTCCGCAAGTAATTAAAATATGAGAAAACAGCTCCAACTCCGGCTGCCCATAAAATATTCCGGAGTCAACAAAGGATGTGTCGCCTGCCTGCTCCTTGGTGGTCAGGCGGCGGGCTTAAAAAAGCATCAAATTTCATATTCAAAATGGCACTTTACATGTTCAGCATAATTTATAAATGCACGCAGCGCCAGAGGAAAGTATCAGCAGAGCCGGCTACAACAACAAACACGGAATGTGCTGCGGTGGCAATATTTTTGAAGCAACATTGTCGACACACCGAAAGGGGGAGGGGAATGGGAGGGGGAAGAAGAGGAAAGGGGGCGGGTCAGGAGCAGGACATCGATGGCAGCGATGCTGTTGTCACTCGGCGCTTTTCCAGCCGAAAGGTACCATAACTATGAGAAAGAACTTGTGAATGTTCCTTTGGAATAATATGTTCTTTGTTATTCAGTAAACTTTGCAAAAGAACTCAAAGAAAAAATATTTATCTCTAGAAAATATTTTAAAAATATATCTTTGACTCAGAGATACATTCGAGAGTAAAGTATTTCAGTTTCGTGGTCATAGTACTCATGGCCAGGTTATCCTGGTGTGGACGTTGCAAACAGCAAACATGCCGCAGTCCTGTTCCTGCCAACCACTCCTGCCTCTCTCCGCCTCTACCTCCCCCTCCCCCTTTACCCCTCCTCTCCCCCCCGTCTCCCCTGGCGTTCAACCCTTTGTCCAAGGTGTGTGATGATTTTAATGGCCCCGAGGAGGCAGGCGAGCAGCTCGGAGCGAGGCCAGGCCAACATGTTGAAAGGATTGCTGCGAGTTACGCCATGACCAGGCCTACACAGAGTCCTCCCCCCTCCCCTCCCCTCCTCGCTTCTCCTGGCAATCCTGGCCATGCTGGCCGTGTCCTGCCACAGTTGATTGGCTGTTATTTTGGGTGTTGACGCAGGCGGAGGAGGCCACTGTTGAAATTTGCATATCAAAAACGGGCAGGACATCGCCTCTCTCTGCCAGCTTATGTATGTGTATGTGTCTGTGTGTGTGTGTAATGTCCTTTTGCAGGATCTGGCTGTGCCAGCGGCTCTATGAATTTATGAACATAATATAAATTTATTTTTGCAAACTTTTCATGTTTTTGTTTGGGCCACCGAAATCTACATGCCACTCCCCCCGACCACCGACCACCGACTGCCGACCACCGCCCACCAGGACAACAAAGGGATTGTTGTGTCAGCTCGCATGTATGTGTGGGGATGTGCATCCTTTCTGCCTGTGTGTGGGTGTGTGTGTGTGGGCTGCATTCTGCTGTGCGCTTTCGAGCACGTTCCAAGTTTATTTATGCGTATGCAGAATACTTAATGAAAATTTAAATGTAAAAGTTACTCGTAGACTGCAGCCTCCGGGA